GAGGCAGGAGGATCTTGAGTTCAAAGCCAATTCAGCAAAAGCCAGGTCTTTAACAACTAAGTGAGATCCTGTCTCTAAGTAAAATACAAAAAAGGGCTGGGGATGTGGCTCAATAGTCAAGTGTCCCCAAGTTCAATCCCTGGTACTCCCCACCCCCCCAAAAAAAAGAAAATGAAAGTGTTCATAACACATGTAGGGCTGGGGCTGTAGCTCAGTGGTAGAGTGCTTGCCTAGCATGCATGAGGCACTAGGTTTGATCCTCAGCACCACATAAAAATAAACAAACAAAATAAAGGCATTCTGTCCATCTACAACTACAAAAAAAAAAAGGAAAAAAATAAACACATGTATCTATTACCCCACAGGTAATGCTGAATGGCACCTTTGCTACTAGCTATCGTTTTAGTAAAAGGACCTTCTATGATATTGTTGCCCAACTTCAGAGCAGGAGCTGATGCAGTCAACACTATCAAATCCTCAAAAGCATCACCAAGGAGCATAGCTTTACTTATATTAATGCTTTAAAGTAGTTTCTCATGCAGTTAAATAAGTAGTCTGGTCCCACTTGATCCAGAAGCCAGAAAATAGAATCAGGGTCACATGGGAAGTCTCTCTCTACCCACTCCAAATGTGCACAGGATGTTCTACATGGGAAATGCAAAACTGATGCTTACAGGAAAAAGAGAATGGGAAATGGCACCCAGGAGGAAAGAAATGGGTACTGGACAGAATGGTACTGGTATATAGGAGTTGAGGTCAAAGTGATAATTAGGAACTCAAAAACGCCAAAAGTTTAAACAAAGTTGAAAGTGTGTATGTGTTTAAACACTTAGGATATCAAGAGGGAGTAATGATCTGAAAGGAGAGGGGATCGTTTGGGCACTTCAATTATAGACATAAGTAAACAATAAAATAGGTTTAAATGGCGCTGTTAGGGAAGTTTACTAAGGGCAGGTAGGACAACAGAAACCCTTTGTACACTCTTTAAACTAAGGGAACATGTAATCTGTATTATTCATGCACCTTTTACACAAGTTTACACATGCACGCACAATGGATTCTAGAGAGGTAAGTCATATGGTGAGGGTGCAAGAATCATTTGGATAGGATGTAAGTGGAGTAGGTCAGAAGAGTGTCAGGGTAGTGGGGGCAGGCACTCCCGACCCCAGGCCCAATGACAGAACCCAAGGAATCGAGGGTGGTGGAGGCTGCGCTGGTGTTCCAGGGAGAATCCGCATCACTCGGTCGCTGTCACCCTTGATTTGGTATTTCCCCGACCCGGGCTCCCGTACCCTCCAAGGTGACGGTGTCCAGTTCTCGCTGGGAGTGTTCAGCCGCTGCCGCCACCGTCTTGCCGTCGGCCTCCCCGGTTGACCCGCTACCCGTCGCTGCCTCTTCTTTCATCTCCACATCCTGAGGGGCCGGGGGCTGTGGTGGTTCTTGTTCTCCTCCACCGGGCGGCGGCTTAGCCTTGTCCGCGCCACGGCGCCGCGCCGAGCCCTCCTGTTTCATGGCGCTCGGAGTCGCGGCCTAGTCCGGGGAACGAGGCCGGGGCCTCGCGTGAATCCTGGTACCCCGACCAGGAACCGAGCCGGGCCTGCACACAAGCGCGGGCTCGCGTTGGGCCGCACGATGACGGAGCAGCTGCAAACCCCTTCCCGGCGCTGGGTCTTCTGGGAAACGCCAGGCCCCGTGGGTTGATGGCCGAGTCAACTAAGGGGAAAGAAGTCAACAGCCGAAGTGCAGGATGAAGGCGGATCTTGGAGGAAGGACGGGGAGGAGCCTGTATGAGTTTGCGGGGCTTTCTTTGAAGTGCTTAAATGTGTTGATTTTAACTTCTCCTCGAGTGCATTTCTGTGGGTGTCCACCAGAGGTCCCCTCAGACTCCAACCTGGACTACAACGGACTCTAAGAGTACCCCAACTAGAATGGAGTGGGTAGGGCCTATCCGAGCGTAGAGCGAGATGACGTCACAAGTTGCCGGGCGGGTTTTGTGTCCAGGCTTGAGGAATTTGCTGGGTCGCGAGTGGCCACTGGGATCCGCCGGGCTCGTGCTCAACGGTCGCCCGGGGCATCCAGCGCGAGGCAAGAAAAGAAGGCTGTGGAGGAGGGCTAGGCTGTTGGGGTTTAAATAAACGGAATTGGGGAGTAGGAAGAAACCCATGGATCCGGACTTCCTTGTCAGATTGTAGTTTACTGCTTTCTCTGCAGCCTAGCCCGGCGGTGGCAGGCACACAAGCCTATAATCCCAGGGACTCGGGAGTCTGAGGCAGGAGGATCTCATATTTAAGTCCCACCTGGGCAATTTAGCGAGACCCTGTCCCAAAATTTAAAAACAGAGGGCTGGAGATGTAACTCAGTGGTAAAGTGCTCCTGGGTTCTATCAATCCCCAGTACACCGCCACCCTCCCCAACCCTCCCTCACCAAATCTCTGCAGCCTGGGAGTGTGAATGGGGGAGAGTGTGTTTGCGTAGAATCACTGCAGTTTAATAAAAGATAGGGGTCCACTCTCTGTGTGGATGAAGGTTAGCAGAAGGCATGGGTGGGGGTGTGGAAAACTGCTCAAGAATTTAGTACAGTAGCGGGGAGGGGTGGGGGAAAGGTGTCCGAAGGTAAGATAGTGGACAGTTTGCTCTGGCCTGCAGCAGATTGTAAGGGTGGAAAGTCTGCACTGGCAGAGGCTTTAGGGAACCTGTTGAGGGGCCTTAAATTGGACCAGAAAGAAACCCTGCCCACTTACATTTCAAAGAACTCCCCCAGTGATTCTGTAGGGTAGGAGGATACTGGTTCCAGTTTCTTAAGATACAATACAGTAATTTCCTATCTTGGAACCTTGATTTTTTCCATAAATGGAAGTTCTAAGTTTTAGACCTTAGATGGACCCTTCACACAATCTAGCCCTGTTGCAAGAACCTAGAGGCAGAGGATATGTTTTGACTATATTCTAGCTCGTATTCATATGAATATATGTGATATGGTTTTTTTTTTTTAAGAGAGAGAGAGAGAATATCTTTTTTTGTAGATGGACACATCCTTTATTTTTATGTGGTGCTGAGAATCGAACCCGGGTTCCGCCCGTGCTCTACCGCTGAGCCACAATCCTAGCCCTTATATGTGATATCTTAACATATCTTTTGTATTCTTCCTTTCATACTATTGCTGCAAATAATTGCCTGTATTAAACAGCCACCTTGCTAAATGAAAAAAGTGTGTGCTCCAGTTTTAAAGAACATGTTTTGACCAAGTCCTTCCTGTCCTCTCACCTCCCAGGGCTAGAGTTTGGATAACATTCTTTTGAATCATCACTGGAGTAAACACATTAAAGTGTCTTCTTCACAACACCATATCTGTAGCTGAGGTGGATGAGAATGATAAAGGCAGAACATAGACTTGCTGTGTTGTTCATCCTTACAATCCAAGTTACCCTTCTGGATAGTTAAGATATAACTCACCTGTCTATTAATTTTACATCACAAGGGAAAAACAACCAAGTCAGCAGATAACAACCCAAGATGTCCATGAGCAATTAGTGAGGCTTTGGAAGATGCCCAGAAGTGGGAGGTGGCTTAACACAAAGCTTTTGGCAGTTGATCATGAATTCTTGGTGAGTGAGGGAATTAGCCTGGGCAAGTGCTGGCTAAGAAGGGGGAGAGTTTGATTCCTAGGGTCGAAAGCCTTGGAGAGATTATCCCTCCCATAAAACTACTTCAAAAGAGATTGGTGGAGCTGGGCGCAGTGGTACACACTTGTAATCCCAGCGACTCTGGAGGCTGATGCACGAAGATCAGAAGTTCAAAGACAGCCTCGGCAAATTAGCAAGGTCCTAAGCAATTTAGCAAGATCCTGCCTCAAAATAAAAAAGCTGGAGTTGTGGCTCAGTGGTTAAGCACCTCTGGGTTCAATCCCCAGCACCGTGGGTGGGAGTGGGAGTGGGGGTGGTAAGGATTGGTAGAAGATGTTCAAGCCCAGTTTTAGACAGAGAAGGATGTAAACATAGAAGTTTAATGAGAGTGCAATACACATATTAGCAGGTCAATAGGTCAAACCTATCCACACTGCTTTCTCCCACAATCACCCTGAATTGAAGATAGAAAGCTGAAAGAAGAAAATAATACAATTTTTTGGTGGGTACTGGGGATTTTTTGGGTACTGGGGATTGACCCCTGGGGCACTTAACCACTAAGCAACATTCTCAGCCCTTTTTAAAAATTTATTTTGAGACAGGGTTTCACTGAGTTGCTTAGGGTCTCACTAAGTTGCGAAGGCTGGCCTTGAACCTGTGTTATTCCTATCTCATTCTCCTGAGTTGCTGGGATTTGTGCACCATTATGCCTGGTGGAGATAACACAATTTAAAAAAAAAAAGTTTTGGGTCAATCTCATTTTTGGGTTCCATTTTTAAAGATTCATCTGCATTTTCTAATCAACAAACTTGAAAGTTTTCTTCTTGTGTGCTTGTACTAGCTCTATTTTTTCCCACCCCTAATCCCTCAACCTGGGGCTAGAGGACTCCAAATGTTTTTATTTGAAGACAAGATGCCTTGATGATCTTGTCATTCTACATTCCACTTTCTATACCCTTATAAATGTTCTCTAAGCATTTTCCAACTGACCTGAGGACAGTAGAGTAGTATCTTGTACATATGACTCATAGGTAGTAGGTTAATCTTTCTTTTTTTTTTTTTTTTTTTTTTTTGGCATAAAGAATTTCCTTATGACAAATTGTTTTTTATTTATTTTTATTGGAACTTTATGGTTGTACATAGCTGTTTGGTTCATCCCATGACAAATTCTTTAAAGAAAAACACCAAAAGACACATTATCCTAATTTTCTCTAATTCCTATAAAGCTTGTTTTTTTCTAAGCACAAGTGGGAGAGATTAGGATAGGAAACTAATTTATCTTTTTTTTTTTTTTCAGTTTTGCTGAAATGGCTCATAGTTTAAAGGTTGAGTGCTTCTATTTCTACAGGATTTAGGCATTAGCAGACCAGCTTAGTGGGTTGTGGAGGTAGAGGGTGAGATACAGAGTGGGGCAGGTAGAACTTGGTTATCATGGGTGATCAATTAGGATTTTAGTCCTCTTTGTCCTGGTAGTTCTGAAATGCCTTTGGGTATTAAGGACACAGCACTGTGAGTCTGGGCAGGCATTGGGGAGCAGGGGGCAGACAGAAGTTTCATTAGGAAGCCTTGGTTAGCAGGTGAAGGAGGGAGAGACCAGCGTAAAGGGCACAAAGGTGGGGGAGGGCGTCTGGATCCCACGTGTATTGGGGGCCTGATCGCTGCACTTCCAGGCCACTCAGCCCCACTAGAGCTTCTGTGAGGGTCAGTTCCTCTTCACCAAGGGAGGAGAGCAACTCAGGTTGCAGGGGGAAAATGCCCTCTTTATCCTGCAGAAAATTCTGTTCCATCATGCTCTCCACCTGCAAGAACCAAACAAAATATCATGGAAAGGAAGATCTAGAAGGCTCTCTTCTTCTTCCCGACTTTGTAAAAACCATAAGGTTATATTCTCCTTATCATAACTCCTTATCTTTCACATTACAGCTCCATGTGGGTCTTTTAACAGCCCTATACAATCAGCAGTGCATTTATTTTGGCCCCATTTTACTGAGGAATAAATCGAGATAGACTCAGAGACATTAAAAGATTTGCTTACATCACTTGGAATAAGCAAAGCCAGTTTTCTGTCTCTTCTCCCAAGAACAGACTGATAAGCCCAGAGTATGGCCAGAAATTCGCCCTTCCCCTTGTTGTGAAATAACAAAAAGGAAGAAACATGGAAAGAGAAGTGAGCATGAGCTCTTGGAATAAGGGAGAGGCCTTCCAGACTCTTCTGTCATCAGGCTAAATCTATACCTTTCCATTGGTTCTAGCTACTTCCTCCTGAACTCTGCCTGACACTGTGTGTGTGTGTGTGTGTGTGTGTGTGTGTATTTCTCACCAGCTTAAGCTGCACTGGTAGGATCTTTTTCTCCATGGACTTTACCAAAAGCTTCTGTTGGGCTTCACTCAGCACTGGAGAAAAAAAAAAAGCAGAGAAAGAGATGTATGTTGTTGGTGCAGAGAGGATAGCAGACTCCAAATAGTATACTTCTGGAACTCAGGCACGCATTGATTGATTAATTCATTCCTTCATTCATGGTTGAATGCCTGCACTATGCTAGGCTTCTCTGCCAGGTGTTATGTAAAAATCATACTCCCTTCACTCAAGAAAATTGCAGTCTTATAGAGAAGACAAAGAAACTGTAGTGGAATTACAGTTTGGGGTGTTAAGGGAGCCATGGCTGAGGGGTCTACTTTGGTTCTGGCTTTTGAAGGCAGCCTTCTTATGGGAACAAACACCTCAGCTTATACCTAAAGGACAAGAGAGTTTTTTTTCTTCCTTGTTTCCTCCCCTTCTTCGCCACCTATCACCTGACTCCAACCACCAGAGTTTTCTAAGTGGGGGGATGTTTCATGTAGAGGGAAGGAGAGAATGTAGAGACAAGATTATAGGATGTTACTCTCAGAAATGAAAGCTAACAGATATCAGTATAGAAGTGTGTGAGCTTAGCTATGTGCAGAAGGTTTATATATGTAGTTGAAAAAAGTGGGCTTAATTCCCAAATCTATAAGAAAGACTGTCTTCTCAGGTTATCCAAAGAGATCAAGTGAGCCAGATGTGGTGGCTTGGGAAGTTGAGGCAGGAGAATCGGGAGTTCAAAGTCAGACTCAGCAATTTAGCAAAGCCCTAAGCAACTCAGCGAGACCCTGTCTCTACATAAAATATAAAAATGGGCTGGGAATGTGGCTGAGTAGTTAAGCATCCCTGGGTTCAATCTCTGATACCAAAAATAATAATAACAACAAAATATACACATACACAAAAGAGAGATCAAATGAATCCTTAGGAATAGAACTACTTTTTAAAAATGCATATATAGAGCTGGGGATGTGGCTCAAGTGGTAGCGCGCTCGCCTGGCATATGTGCGGCCTGGGTTCGATCCTCAGCACCACATACTAACAAAGATGTTGTGTCCGCCGAAAACTAAAAAATAAATATTAAAATTCTCTCTCTCTCTTAAAAAAAAGAATCTACTCTTTTAAAAAATGTATATATAAACTACAAAAACTGTAGTATAATGTCCTGGTATTCACTCAGGTGATTCATTTCTATCACTGAAAAAGTGAAGACTTTATTCCCTACTTACCTGTTAGGGCTCCAAGGAAATAGAGGACAGCATCCATAGCCTCCTTTGATAGTACGATATCTTTTGGGAGTGCCTCCAGGGTTACTTTATGTCCCTTGTCTAGAGCCCCTTCAAGCTGTGGGAAAAGGTAGGTGACATTTAAGATTGCCCAAACAAGCCTGGTGTGGTGATTCACGCCTGTAATCCTAGGGCCTTGGGAGGCTGAGGTAGGAGGATGGGAGGTCAAAGCCAGCCTCAGCAGCGAGGCCCTAAGGAACTCATTGAGACATTGTCTAAGTAAATAAAATAAAATAAATAATAATAAAATATATATATATATATATATATATATATATATATATATTAGTTTTAGGTGGACACAATATATTTATTTTTTTTGTGGTGGTGAGGATTGAAACCAGTGCCTCACGCATGCCAGGCGAGTGCACTACCACTTGAGTCACATCCCCAGCCCTAAGTAAAATATTAAAAAGGGATGAGGATGTGGCTCGGTGGCTAAGTGCCCCTGGGTTCAATCTCCGGTACCAAAAAACGACAAAAAAGTTTGAACAGGTGGCACCTGACACATGATAGTCCCTCGATACATGGCACTTCTCTCCCTTTTCCCAGTTTCTCTTTATGTAGTAACAAATCCTGTAAAGGATTAGACTCCTGCGTTCCTTGGTTACTGGATTCTGGACTCTGGAAAGCTTCTGGCTCCTTCCAGCAGAGGCACTTTTGGTCTACTGTCCACCTTCTGTCCATGAAAGGGAGTGTGTATCTCAGGGAAACCTGTATGGTTTGGCCTTTTTCAGGGGACAGAGAGGGCAGTGGTCACCTGGTAGCCTGGGGGCACTTGCCCAGTCTCAGGGAAGTTATTTTCCTGGCCATTGGCCACTTTTTGCCTCTGTCAGGTATCCCCACCAAGAGCAGTGCCCCAAATGCCCACCACCCAAACCCCTCCTTCTGCTACACCTCCCATCCTCCTGCTGGGGACTTACTGCAAGCTCCAGGTCTTGGAGTTCTTTTTTCTTCCCTAGAAGTTTGCTAAGGGAGCTGAGCAGGGAACTTTGCCCCACTCGACTCAGCTTCTCCACTTCTTGGGTCTCTCTCTGAACCTCTTCTTTCAGTGTCCCAAAATCCTCATGTACCTCCCCTATGAGGACAGGAAATATACACACCAGTCCTTCAACTGACAGCCTCTCCTCTCTTTCAGAAAGTGTTCTCCCCTAGGCTCCTCCCCTCACCCCACTCAGGGCTCCATCCCCTGCTTCCAGCTTGAGATGGCCTTTTTTTCTTTACCAAGGATCAGAGTTATGAAGTTATCCTCCAGCCCCAACAGAAGGGGTGAGGCAAGGCGGTGTCATCTAATCCAACAATTAATCATCCTGGAGACCCCAGGCCTCATCCTGTATCAGTAAGCAAATGACTTCCCATTCTCAGAGATGCCAGCTAAATGTTGAGAGGAAGGTCTAATCTCCCTTCTTAAGATTTAGTAGACAAGGGAGAATGACTTTGGTGACCTCCTAAAGGCCAAGACGGGGATGCTTCAGAGAGCAGTGGCTCTGTATCCAGGGAGAGCATGAACCAGAACTTGGCTTTCTCGGGGCCTGGCATCCAGGGAATACATTGATTCTGTACCAGAAAAGTGGTTCCCTGGAAGTGGCTCCAAACCCTAGAACCTGGCACTCAGCCCTTGCCTGGCCTTCCCTCTACCCTAATGCTTCTCCTGCCACCTTCGTGACAAAATCTTGGAAGAAACAAAATTCCTTACCAACATCAGATGCCTGGATAACTGGAAAACATAAGAAAAACAAACAAAATAGATAAGAATACAGACCTTCAGATTGGCAGCCATCCCCAGGGCATGAAACACTAATCGGAATGCGGTAACAGGTCCAGTCTGGCTCCTGGGAGATCCCAACTATCTTAAAGATACTCTTGCACCATTCCTGGGAATCAGGAATGGGTCAGGAGAAGAGCTATCAGGAATGTGAAAAGGGGCATCCAGATGGAGTTGGCATCACTGTGACTCAGTTTTTGTCTCTGGGCGGCAGAGTAACACATATGTTTGAAATAGGTTATAGCTACCAAGGACTTTGGGGATAAATGTCTGAGATATCAGACCACCTGGGCATCTTGTCCAAAGGTCTCCCCCTTCCACTGCTTTTTCCTAAGCTAGCAGAATTTCTGCCATTTGTCAGGGACAATTGCTAATGAGACCTGCTCTGCCCTCTTCCCTGTCAGTCTCACGCAGGAGGGGAAAAGACTAGTGTTTTTTAAACTAGAGTCAAGAAAGTTGCAGTGGAGTGATAGGATCACTTACGTGCGCATTTCCCCTCTCCTGGCTTTTCTGAAGAGAGAAACAATGCACATCGGTCAGCATAAAACTAATTTCTGCCTTTTTTGTCTAAAGCATCTGTCAAGGTAGCTTCATGGGGGATGATTATACAAACACATGGAGATCCTGTTAGCTCATCCACTCCCACAATTTGGCAACACACACTGACTCCAAGTCCTGTTTCTGCTTCTGATTGTGTCTCTGGTCTCTGTCCTTCTCTCTGTCCCTTGTGGGCACTATTTATATACCTCTGTCTTTCCTAAAGTTGAGGATAGATATTCTGGGATGTGGGAGACAAAAGCAGGGGGCTCCCAGAGGGATTACAGAATCTGCTAGTAGAGGGCAGGGCAGGAGCTGTGGAGAGCCAGTTCACTTACCTTCTGGAGGGAAGGTTTGCATGCTATCATTGCAGATGTGGGGAATATCTGCAAGGAGCAAGAGAAGAAGATCAGGAGGTAGCTTACCCTTCTTTCTCCAGCCTCAAGCCCAAGGGCCCCTTTCTCAGGGCTAGATCCTGTCCCTCAAATGGCTCATCTAATTCTCCACTCGACCTCCACTACAGGAAGTTTGAAGTTCTCTCCTAGATAGCACTGTTTCTACTTGGCATCCTAGTATTGGCATTGATCCTCCTTTGGTTTCTTGAGAGTGGAGGCTGATTTTGTTTAGTTTTATGTCCCTTGTCCCAGCCTCCACAATGCCTAGCACCCAGCAGATGCTCAGAACCCATAAGCCCCTTCCCCCTTCCTCTGGAGCAGGCCCTGTGGCTCAGTCCCCAGCACTGGATGATACAATACACTCCTTCTGCCATTCCCTGACATGGCCACAAGAGGGGACCAGGATGCCTTGGTAATGATGCGAGTAATTGTCATCTTAGGGAAAAATCTTCCAGGACTCCGCTCACCCCATTCATCTTTGCCATTGACCATCAGCTGTCTCACTCGAAAGGCTAGGACGCAGCCCTTGGGGATGGTTACAGCCTCCTTGTGGTTTACAGATCCCTAGAATTAGACAATGAGGATTTGTGAATTTGCAGAAATCCTAAGCATGAGACATTGGGAGTGGTGGTGGGGGCAGGTGGAAAGCCAGGCCTGAGAGCTTTGGGGAGATAGCAAGTTGGGAACCATTCAGTAGTGTCCCAGATCATCTTTCTATCCAGTCTGAACTTGTGGAACGGGCTTTGAAGCCCTCCCACTCATTTCCAGTGCCCATCCAGGATTCTTCCTGGTTCAGATGCATGAAAGGAACTGGGCCAACCTGCTCCATCAAGTACCTGTACACCACCCTGTCCCACCTCCAGGCCCTGATTCCTTCTTTCTCTTCTCCATCTGTCCTTTGCTTACCTCATTCAGAAGTCTTTCATGACTAAGCTCTCCTCCTGTCCCCAAATGCCAAATCATCCCTTGAATATTTACACTTACTAGGTATAGGTATGTGAGCCTTGCGTATTTCCATTGAATTTCCCATGACTGTAGTCTCTGGGATTTAACTGATGCATCTTGACTTTGAGCCTGAGAACTTTCTGTGAGCAAGGAGCTCTGTTTTTTAGCTTGGGAGTACTATGAGGGAAAACTCAGGAGCATGTTTCCCCTTCCCAATATTCCCTGTGGCATCTGGAATAGAGATCTGCTCACACTGGGCACCATCAACTGGAGAAGGGGGTTGTGTCTGGCCAAGTAGGGTTTGGATCTTGAGGAGGTAGGAGAAGGGGTAAGTCAGTAAGTCTTCTTCAGTATCCTGAGTGGGTACCTGTCCAGCAAAGTTAATGAAACCTCTGGGAATGCAAATGCCTATGTGTGTGTGTGTGTGTGTGTGTGTGTGTGTGTGTTTGAACCAAACCTGTAGCCCCAGTGGGGCAAAGAACGGGAGGGAGAAGCAGCCCTCTGCCTTGCCGGCTCTCTCCAGAGTGACCTCCTGTACCGTCTCCACCACCTCCATCACCACATACAGATTCTCACCACGATCTCGCATCTCCTTCAGGAAAGGGTGATCTGCTGCCAGCTTCCTGTGGCAGAAGAAGGATAAGGGGACCATCCAGAGCTTCTCCCCACCTGGGCCATGCCCTTCTCTTTTCTACGGTCATTTGTAGGAACTGGACATTATGGTGACAGGGAAGGAGTGAGGACTCTGGGATCAGTCTGAGTTGGAAACCCAGATCAACTACAGCTTCTCTGAGGCTTAGTTGCCTCATCTATAAAAGGAGGATAAAGATGGTTCCCTCCAGTGTGGAGGTAAACCAGGTCATCATTTGGCACAGAACCTGGCCCAGAAAGGGCCTCATGGTTGCTTCCTTTCCCCTTCTCCTTCTGCTTGGCCATGATTCTCCTTCCTTGCCTTCCATTTCATCTCTTCTGGGTTCATCTCTTGCCATTAACACCAGTCTCTCCTCTCTTTTTGCTCCTTCTGTTTACTTCCTCATATAAACATGTCCTTGATCCTAAAAACTCACTTCCTTTGATCCAGTTACTCTCTCAAATGACCATCCTATTTCTTTCCTTTACTTTATTGGCAAATATCTCAAAAGACCCAACTGTACCCACTCTCTAATTCCTCACTGCCCTGAATTCTGAATTCTCTATAACTTGGCTTCTATTTCCCCAACTTAGCTGAAATCACAATGACAAAAATCAATGTTCATCAAAATCAATGACACTGCACCTGCTGTCCAAGGCAACTCTGTCTTTTCTTGGTTTCTGAGCACACTATACCATGCTGGTTCTGCCCCTGTCTTTCTGGCTCCTGAATCTTACCCATTCTGTCTGAATCCCCCTTTTCCAGTTTATTTGGCTCCATAAAATGCTATGTTCTCAGAGATCTTGTTCTCACCCCTCTGCTCTTGGAACTCCCTCCAACTTTCCCCCCAGTTTCTACAGTATTATTTTGCTGTTCAACACATATGTGTCTTTACTTGAGGGCCCAAAGCACCTTCTCACTCCTGATCTCCAGGTCCTTGATTCCAACTACCTGTTAAACATTCTCAGCTGATGCCAAAGCAGAACCACAAATTTAAAACGTCTAAGAGAAACTCACAATCTTTCTCTACAGATCCACTTCTCACCTCTGTCTTCTTATCACCTGTAATGTCACCTTCAATGTCTCATAATGTCACAATCTGGGTCAAAACGCAGGGTCATCTTTGACAAAATCTTTGCCCTCACCCTGCAATCAGCTGCCAAGCCAAGTCCATTCTATTGCCTTTATTATTATTATTATTAGTAGTAGTAGTAGTAGTAGTAGTAGTGGAGATTGAATCCAGTGTCACTTAACCACTGAGTCACATCCCAGCCCTTTTTGTAGTTTATTTTGATACAGGGTCTTGCTAAGTTGCTTAGGGCCTCGCTAAGTTGCTGAGGCTGGCCTTGAACTTGTAATCCTCCTGTCTCACCCTCCCAAATTGCTAGGATTACAGGCATACCCCACTGCATCTGGCCATTCTATTGCCCTCTGCATAGAATAGGCTGTCCATCTGTTCCTCTGTCTTCATTCCAGCTGCTCTCGCCCAGCTCTTGTCGTCATTTTACATCTCTGATGGGTAGTAGAACGGTATCTTTCCTGGTTCTCAAACCCCTCTCCCTCTTCCTCTATCCAACAACTTCCTCCATCTTGTCATGGGACACATCAGAGCCTACAAGTCCACCTCCTTTCTTTGGCCCTGCTCCTCCATGAGCTGAGTCCACCCTGCATCTTCTTCTTATTTCACGGGTGCCTCTTTTGCACCTGCCAGATGGACTGTTCTTATTGGTTTTGAGAGGTCTCACCTGTGTGTCTTCTCCCAGCCCTGGTGAATAATTTCTTTTCATCTTTCAAGCCCTAGATCATGGGCCACCACCTCTGTGGGGTCTTACCTTCTTTCCCTGATGAGAAGTTCCTATGGCCTTCCACAAGGTTCATTCCCCTGGCACTGACCACTTCTTGTCTTGGATTTTAGTAATTGCCGATATGTTAGTTTTCACCTTCCTAGGTCACAGAGTTCTTGGAAAAAGATGCTCGAGGGGTACCCAAGCCCAAAACAGGATGCTTTTCATTCAACCAGAGTAGTGCAAATGTTTACTGAGTAACTTCTGAACACTCCAGCCCTTCCAGCTGGACTCCCCAGTCCTTACCTCTTCTTTTTAACCACTACTTAACTACTTGAAAGTCAGTTCCCCCATCAAGCCAAACATACATGGAGCCTAGCATCAATGTGGCATCTGCCACACCCCATGTGCTGTTGGGACAGCATCCCCGAGGGTGTGCTTGGTGTGTGTATGGGGCCAGGCAGAAAGCTTCACTTATGGGAGCAGACCACTGGGCTCATGCTTCAGGGGGGAGCAGTTTAAGATCAGGCCCCTCCCCATTTTAAGGCATTTAATAGTTCTAGAGTTGGAAGGAACCTTAGGAATGATCATCTAACTCCATCATTCAGAAAACTGAAGTTTTGAGAGAAATGACTTTTCCAAGGTCTCATGAACGTGGATGCATTCATCCCCAGGTGTGTGTGACACTGGGGGTAGTGAAGGACAGAAAGGAGTGCTTAGGAAATGGCCTGAATACACTCCCCGTGGTGACCACATCGGCGTAGGTCAGTGTGAGGGTCTCACCCTTTCACTCAGGGCCCAATGCACCGTTTCCATGCCCTGCCTCACCCCACCCCACCCTGCTAGCCCCTGTGCCCTTTCCATTCTCACCTCTCCTCGTGCAAGGACTCCAGGGCCTTGGGAGCCACACTGAGTGTCTGGACCTCCAGCGTGCTGTTCCTGGAGAGCCCGGCAGTCCCCCTCACCTTCACCGTCTTTGGTACATCCACCTCTCCCTCCACTCGGGCGTCCAGCATATTCTTAAAGCCAAAGTTCCCAGAGTCTGTTGGATCTGCAGGAAGGAGAAGATAGAAGGGTCTGGGGTGAGAGGCATTCTCTGTCACCTGTTCAGCTCCTAATGAGATTGTCGAGGAGATGACTCCTAACCATAGCAGGTCAGAGAGGAGCTTCCCAGTCCTCCTCGTGGGGCAGGTGCCTGACTCCTACCCGGCAGCACCCCTCAGAATCCAGTCCCACGGCTGAGGCTCACCTGAGGGTGAGTTGCCTGGCTCAAGCACATCCAGAAGGGTGTAGTCGGTGCGGACATAGCGGGCCCCCCAGAACAGTGTGCTCTTCCTCTTCCTCAACACCAGGCAGAAGGGGTGAAAGCGCTTGAAATCAATGAGGCTGTCCAGGGGTGTTAAGTCCCCTCGAGGGTTTAGCTGTCTGGCCAAGGCCCGGGTGACATTTTCAAACATGGTCATTGTCCCTGTGAGGAGAGAGATGAGACTGTCCAGATGGCTGCCAAGGACCTGGTAAGGTCCCTGCCGTGGGGAGCCACCCTGCTCTGGGGCAGGGGGAGCTCTTAAAGATGCCTGAATTCTCAAATGTTAGACCTGGAAAGAACCCGAGAAGTTTTCACGTTATGGTGAGGAGACTCAGGTTCCAGAGCTTACATGGCGGGCTAGGGAAGCCACAACCAAAGGGCTCTTTTCTCAGTCTACATTCTTTTTTTTTTCACAGTCACAGAGCCTGGATGGAGCATTTCATTAGCTGTAGAAGTGAAGCTTTCTCTCACACCTGGGAGCAGCCATTGCCAGGGAAGCAGCCACCACTGGGGTCAAGGTGTCGGAAGGCAGAGCTGGGCACTGCACTAGCTGCCCTTTGTTGATGGGGGTTCACTTCCCATCATGGTGGCTGCCCCACTGCTCCAGGCATGTTGATGTTCTTTGCCTTTGTTCTCTCTGCTTTTCATACCCTCTTCCCAGTCTAAAGCATTCCTATTCATTTTTTAAAGACTCAATTTAGGTCACTCCCTGGTGACACCTCCCCTCACTCCTTCAGGCATCTGGTGACTTCACAGCCAAGTGCTGTGTACATCTCCTGAAACACCTGCCACTTTATGTTGTTATGATCTCTTCACCTGACTCACCTACTCTACTGCGACTTCCCCGACAGCTGGCAATGGGTCTTAGTCACCTCGGTAGCATCAGTACCAAGGCAGTGCCTGGCACAGAGTTGGAGCTTGGCAAATGAGTGCGGAAAAGAAAAAAGAAAGAATGAATGAATGAATGCAGCCCTGGGAGACACATGCTGGGGTAAGAGGGCCTCAGAGAATGTGGGGCCTACGAGAGCCCGAGCTTCACCATCTTAGATCTCTGTCTTTGATGTTCAAGTCCAGGTGCTCTGCTGGGCAGCTGGAGGCACACCCAGATTATCCCTGTGGGTGGAAGAGAACCTACCAGCTGGCCTGGAAGTGCCTTGCTTTCTTGTGGTACCTCACAGAGACAGGGAAGTGGAGGCACAGTCACAGATGTGTGAGGCCATTCTTCATGCTCCAATGTACTTTGTCACCCCTTACTCCTGGGAGGACCATGATGGGCTAGGACAACCTCTTGGGGATAACTGGGGGCACATGGGACTCCTCACCAGAGAGGCGCTCACTGGGCCACCTCCCCTTCCGTCCCCAAGATCTATCAGGATACCTACCCGACTGCCCTTCTGGTCCCACTCAGCTCCCTAGATCACCAAACTGTCCCCTGCCTCCTCTCCCGTCATCAAATTCTTACCAGGGAATGATGCTCTGGGTCCTTCAGGAAACCTGGTGTGGAGTGAGGGCCCAGGGCTTGCTCTGCCTGCAGGTTGAGAGGATGACTGTCCTTTGCCAGGAGAGGCTGCTTTATGCCTCTGTGGAGACAGGGATATAGGCTTCAAGGGACCCCGCCTGCCCCAGTGACCCCACCCCCTCCCGCTCCACTTCCGGGAGAACAGCATCAACCTGTTCCAGGTGCGCCTTGCCCCAGGCCCCCAGGCTCTGGCATCCAAAGGGCTGAGGGGGTGGATAGGGTGCTGCCAGGAAGGTGTTAGCGTAGGTGGGGGCAACCGGGCCAAGAGCTAGGTGGCAGGTGAAGGTTAGTTTGTGGCCATCTTTGGGAGATACAGAGAGGCAGAGGGAGTGGGGGTGTGTGTGCACACACACGTGTGTGCGTATGTGTGTATGAATGAGGAGGGATGGCATCTTTGTTTTGATGTGAACGTGGTCTATCAGGAAGCATCTGGGATTCATGGTAGGCCTTACAGGTGCGATAAGGGGATAAGATTCCAGAAGAGATTCCAGGAGAGAACAGAGCAGCTGAGAAGTTGTTCTTCACGGACCTGTGTGTCAGCCTCCCCATCCCTGCCTCAGTGCATTTGTTTTAGCCCCATATACATATCTCTGCTACCGCTAGATGCATAAGTCTAGGCAGAGACGGAGCTAGGCCAGGAGGTTTTCTGGGGTAAAGTGTTCTGTGTCTCAGCTGCTCGTGGAACACTGAATACACACATGTCTGTCAACAGAGGCAGAGGCATAGCAGCAATATTACTGGAAAAGCCCAAGATGCCTGTTGACGGGGGTCAGGAGTCTCACTGTAGGTCACTCAGGTCCTGCTTCTGTCTTCTGTCTGGGCCTGGAAGGAATTTTAAAGGAGACCTGACACCCATGCCTAGCTCTGTAGATGACAAGTTAAGGGATTTACACGCAAGGCCTGTAGCATGGGGCTCCGTGGTCTCGTATGTGTGCACGTGGGTCCTGAACACCCATGAGCTGTTGCGTTCACCGTGAGGCATTCCTCAGCAGTGCTCATGGAAAAAGTAATGCAAACGTGAAGGACGTGAAGAGTACGGTTGATCTTTTCTGGAGGTTTCCTTGAGGAGCTGGTGGTGAATGGGAAGATGAGACCACCCAGACTCAGTAAAACTCCCTAAACATTTCATTACTCTACTTTTGTCTTCAAGGTCTCATTCAGTGTGACAGATGCTCCCATATGGCTCCTCCCTATGTTTTAAAGCAAAACAAAACAAAATGAAAACCACCTTGCCTTTGCCTCTCTGGTCCCCACTCCTTACCACACTGCTTGCTTCCCTTCTCATCCACCCCTGCCCTCTTTGTGTATCTATCATACACTTCCTCCTTCAACACCTCTAACTGTTGCATAGGCCATCCAATGTCCCTCTTCCTTAGAAGAGGCAAAGTTGGGGAGGTGAGTGTGTGGGAAGGTTGTCATTAGTCTTTTGGTCCCTGTCACAAGTGTGCATGTATGTAGAAATGTGTTGTATGTTGTCCTGAGTGTGCTCTGTCATGAACACATAGATGAAACATATTTGTATCTTGCCATGATGTCAGAATTTATTGAATAATAATAAATTCATAGGCTAAACCACTTTAATCAGCGGCAGTTTACTGAATACTTGTGGATCATCTGGTAGTCCTAAATCAGGCAGATTTTTAAATTTTAATCTTTTTTTTAAAATTTTAATCTTAATGTTTAATATCTATAACACTCTCAAGTCACAAATTCTACTTTATACGTGTGAGTGTGTGTGTTACTGAAAGGTTAAAAAATGGTTAAGGCAGCCACAGGGGTTTAGAAGGCTGAACTCAGAGTAAAGACAGACTATCTGAATGTAATGTCCCTGTAGATGGTCAGCCAAAGAAATTATTCAGGGCTCAGAGTTGTTAAAACACAGAAACTCATTTTAGGCCAAGGTTCAGAGGGACAGCAGTTTCACAGTGTCACCTTGGAATGTCAGTTTGAGACGTCAGAATGGAGTGGGACTTGTGTGGTCATCTGGGCCAGGAGAAACTGAATGCTGCTAAAACCCAAGGACAGAGACTTGGAGGTTTGTCACTGTGATGATTTTCCTGGAGAAAGCTGGTGACGAGTGACCAGAGGATGAGGTTAAGGTGCCACTGTGTCCACTCTTGGGGTGGTTCTCCTTTTATGGGTCTCTGATGAGGTGGTTGTTTCTTTTGGTTGTCTGGTATCTCCGATATGAGCATGATACACCCATGCATCCACATGCTTTTGATTAATTTGATAGTTCACAGGTGGTCATCCTTATTAGCATGACTAATTTATTTATCTATTTATGCCTTATGGTTGTGTCAGGCAGATGGTGGTTATTTACTTGTATAAACAAGATATAGAAACCTTACACCTCAGCACTTAAACTCAAAATGGAGTAGCTTATGGTGAACTACTTCTTTACAAAATGGAGTTACAAAGTTTTAGGAACAGCCTGAAAACTGCTGTTCTATATATCATGGATTAACTCAGAGCAGAGCATAGCCTGCTCTCCACATATGTTATATTCTTTCCATCTGTCTCTCTATTAACCTGGTTCTTTCTGGATTTCTGTCTCTTTGAATCACTGCATCGATAAGACACTTGCAATCCAGCATAAAGCCCTGGGGCTGTGCAGTCTTCTGTCCCGTAATCAGCCCTAGGGAAGGAAGCTCCATTCTCTGCCTTTTTGCCAACCCACTTTTGCCTCTGCCAGACTTTTGCGATTTACTTCCTAACCTCTATCTCCTTCCAGGGGCTGAAGGTCAAGATCTAGCTCATTTTCTAAAGATTTGGAGAACACTGGTTTAGGAAAGTCATATGTGTTTCTGCTCTGAGGACTCAAAAAATCCACCTAGCTGACTTTTTCTCCTCCTGGCCCACAAGTCTTGCTCCTTTCATATCTCTTGCCTTCCTTTGTCCACTCTGATCTCTCCAACCTGTCCTCATTCTCCTTGTCCCACCTCCATCCCCACTCCACCCCATTGCACCATTCCACGAAACTGCCTGGTGATGTTCTAAGCATAGGGTTTACAAGATTCAAGGAAGAGAGAAGATATAAAGGCTTGTGAGGTCAGTCAAAAGTCCCTGGGATGTTCCTTTCTCCCTTCCTTCTCTCTCTCTCTCTCTCCCCCTCCCTCCCTCCACTAGTGATTAAACTCAGGGCCTCATGCAGACTAAGCAACTGCTCTACCACTGATCTGTACTCCCAGTGCTTAGAGTTTAAATTGCACTGTAAGAGATTTAAGTTTGATAAATCTCGGGCAACGTCATAGGTTCAATCCCCAGTATTAAAAAAATTAAATTAAAAAAGTGACGAATCTGTAAGAACTCTTTAGGTCAATTGAAAGTGACTAATGCTGAAACTGGCCCATGCAGGGTGGGGAGTTGTGCAAGGTGCTGAGGCAGGTGGCCGCTTTGCTTTGCTCTTCATCTCCCTCTGGTGGCCAATCAAGGTAAGTGATAGGAGGAGGACCAAGTTTATGATTTGTGTGGGGTTGCTCGAAATTTGTGCGGGACTCTTGAAAGAGAATAATTGCCTTAATTTAGGCAGGAAGCCCCAGCCACCTGCTCTTTGGAAATATTTAAAAAAATTTTTTTAGTTGTAGATGGACACAGTACCTTTATTTTTATGTGGTGTTGAGGATCAAACCCGGTGCCTCACACGTGCAAGGCGCGTGCTCTACCACTGAGCCACACAACCCCAGCCCCTCTTTGGAAATCTTAATGTCTGTCTGACCCAGAATGTGCTCTGCAGACACACATTGGGACAGGGCCTTATTTCCTTACTCATTTTTTCTTTTTATTGTGGTTGATTTTTCCTTATGGAAAGGGCCAAAAAGGGAAAGAGAGAAGGATAGATGGTGATAGATAGGTGGAAGCCACTGACTGACACAGGCAAGAATGGGAATAAGCTGCAATTCTGTGGATTATGGCCTGAGGAGAATCAGGAACATACTTGTAGGATAGGGGAACCCCTTGTATAAAATGGGATGCCTGGAGAGTTTACATCAGTGACCCCTCCTACATATATATTTCCTGATCTTCTCTGAGAAAAATGAGGTGGAAAAGCTGGATATGAAGATGGGTTAGAATGGGGATGTGACCGTCTGGTGGAGGGGTAGGAAGAATGCTCACAGGGTGTTGTGTTTTATATCTCATATGGGAGGCTGGAACTTTTGGTGTGCAGATCACAGATTGTGAGCTATATTTCCACAAATGTTCCAATCTGAACAAAGCAAAACTCCCACACTGTTTTCTTTGTTCTTCTTTTTGCAGCACTGGGGATCAAGCATGGGCTTTGTGCAAGCATGCTATCACTGAGCTGCAAACCCAGCCCCTCACATTCTTTCCTTATCCCCTAAAAATGTTGAGGTTTCTTCCTGAATTACTAAATCAGCTTTGGAGCTCAAGACACCCCCAAACTCCTAGTTGAGTAGATATTAATGTTCAGCTTGATATGCACCAAATTCAGTGTCAAACTTCAAAGTGTCAGCCCTGTCTCCAGCCCCCCACTGCCAATTCCCTTGCCCATTCGGCTCATTCAGCCAAGGATCACAATGCCAGTGGCAGCCTGAACCCAGATAAGTTTCCTCTGTCAACTGATCATCCAGCACCCCAACTCTTCCTGAGCCCCTGCTGATGGATGTGGCAGGAGTAGGAGTCTGAGCTCTCGTCTATCTTGTAGCCCTCTTGACGGATGTCATCTCCTGAACCTTGCTAAAAAGAGACTGGGTCCTAGATGGAACCTTCATATCTAAGGCAAGTTTGGAGTCAAAGCTCCTTTTTTTTTTTTTTTTTTTTACCAGCTCCTCCAGGCCTGTCCCAAGCCTTATTTATTCTATGTTTCTTAGCCAGAGTTGGGGATCTTTTTTTTTTTTTTTTTTTAAGAGAGAGAGAGAGAGAATTTTTTAATATTTATTTTTTTTAGTTTTCGGCGGATATATCTTTATTTGTATGTGGTGCTGAGGATCAAACCCAGTGCCGCACATGCCAGGCGAGCACGCTACCGCTTGAGCCACATCCCCAGCCCCCAGAGTTGGGATCTTTAGTGGAAAAAATATCTGGAGAGCTAGGAATTGTTGGCC